CCACTCTCACTGTTTTTATCAAGAAGGTGAGGCCCTTGTGTTTGATTTTTTAGCTTGTGGTTTGTAACGTGTCAGTTCCTGGTGAGACAGTCTGAGTCTGGCATTGGTTTGGTATCTTTGTGAATTGCTGAACATCACAAGAGCGTAATAAGAAATATGCTGTACATGCTCTACCTGCCCTCCATCCTGTCCATCTTCCTTGGATGACCCCAAACATTATTTTGTGTGCAACATTCCTCTATCACACACTTCTTCTTCAATGCTGTTTTTTTTTTTTTCTGTTGTGCACTAATGTACTCCTGTCCCACAGCAGTTACAGAGGAGCAATGTATCAGTGGGCTGGCATGTGCCTGCTTGTGCACACAGAGTGGTCGTTGCTCTGCAGGTACAGTCCTGGGCTGGGAAAATTATGATTCTGGTAGCTGTGTTCCTAATTCCCCAAAATTCACCTAAAAAGACCTCCAACTTTTAGTCTGTGGAATTTGTACAGACCAGTGACAGCAGAACACAAACAGGAAACCTGAGAAAACAAGGTGTCCTCAGCAAAGATGCTGTAAGGTTTGGTGCTGAGTAGGTTCTCCCCTTCCCAAGGCCTCCTTCTGGATGTTGCCACCACTACCTCCCACTTGGTTGGTTTCACAGAGAGTCACCTCTCATCCTGGGTGGTAGCAGCAGCCAGCAGGACATTTCCTGTACCTATGCAGAGCTCTGAGGTTTGTAAAGCTGCTCCAAACTCCAGAGAAAGCATGTGAAGCCTGTGAAGCTGGTACAGGGAAGCTGTAGTTGCCTCAAGGCAGGGAAGGGATGCAGAAACCACCAAGTTATCTGGCCAGCCATGGGAAGAGTCACAGAAAGAAAGAAGCGAGCAGGCTTCACCATGGTCTTTGGGCATCTGCAGTCGCTCTGGGACTGTAAACCACTCGTGGCAGCAGCTGTCGTCTCCTGTGAGGCACAGCGGGTAGTGCAGGCCACATGAAATGCATATGAATCCCAGTCCAGTCCAGACTGTAAAACTGGTTTAAAATGAAAACAGATATGGGCACTTTGGGGATGTCGCAGCTCCCTCTGGGCCTCTGTTGGCAGGTTGTCCTTGCTTGGACTTCCTCCCATCCCATGACACAGCTCCCTGTTTTTGTTCATTTGGTGGGCAGCCTGAGAAGCGAGCGGCAGCACCGTGGTGCCCTCAGGCAGGGCAGTGACAGCTGGGGTGGGAATGGAAACCTCCGGCTGGCACCGCTCCCCACAGAGTGCCGTCCTGCCTGCCACGTTTTCGGTTGGTGCCCGATGAAGACGTGACCCCTTCTCAGCTGTTCGCTGCAGCTGCGATGCCAGGGACGCCCTCAGATCTGCTGTCAGGTCAGGGCAGGCACTGCAGGGACTCGCTAATCCCCTCCAGGAAAGTTCCTGCGGCTTATTTCAAACACCCAGTTTGAACTGGTTAATCCGAGCGGGTCGGTCGGTCTGGCGGGGCCGGCTGACACATGCGCTGCTCTGGGTGAAGGTCGGCTGTCGCTCCAGGGCAGTGACAAAGCGGCTGGTTCTGCCCCTCCCCAGCCAGACCTCCGCCTGCAGCTCTGAAAGCCTTTCCTCCAAATCCTGGGCAGCTCTGGGCCATTTCCCGTGCAGTTTCTAGTGCTTTTTGTCCTTCCTTAGTTCAAAATAAGACTTCTGTTGTTTCCCTGTTGAGACTAGTAAAAGCTAAAAGGACATTCATCTTAAATTTCCCCTTTACACCTTATTATACACCTGGGTTACAAAGTAATTTATCGTAAAGAAGCAGATGGTGTGAAAATGTGACTTCCCAAATTCCACAGCATACTAGCAGATGCCATTTTAACCTTGACCTGTGTTTTGCTGTAGCCTGGTTTATCTGGCTCAGGAGAAATTTCAGGAAGTTGTGCAGAGCAAAAGGGTGCAGCTTGGCTTTTCATTGTTTTCACTGCTCCTGCTTGTATACGACACAGGAAAACAAGGGGAAAATATCCTTTTGCTGGGACTCACTCCCATGTTTCTCATGAACCCTGAGTTCAATCAAGCTTTGATAAAATGGAAACTGAGGGAAAGCAGAACACATTGAGGGAAGGATGGTGCTCAGTGCAATGCACGTGCTTCACATTCGGCCAAAGGTTGTTTGCTTCTCCTGCCTTCTTTGGGTAATTTCACTAGCATCTGTACATAAATAATTTCCCATGGCAAACATCAACCATGAATCCACAACTCCTTATTGCTCAGGAATGTTCATCTAAAATTGAGGTTGTGTTCACCTAAGCTTACTGAAACTTGGAAATACTTTTTCAGCCATATAACATTAATTATACTACATTCATATAACATATCTTGTGTCAACTAAAAGCCAGGCTGCTTTGTGAGCTGTTTGGAGTGTGCTGGTAAATTAACTCCAATTAATCCCCTTCTTTCAGTTTAAGTTGCTTCTCCCAAGTCATGGCTCCTCTCCTCCCTCCTAACTCTGTCTGTGACTCTTCCCCTCCTTCCTAACTCCTCTGCTGATGTTAATGCTTTCAGAGGAGTCACTAGATGACCCTGTATACTCATCTTAATTGCCAGTTTCTAACAATCACATGACTTTTTATATGTAAGTGGCAAACTCCCTTCTGTGAGCCCCGTGATGGGCTGAGGAACCCCTGGCAGGGAGGTGGAGGGAAGAGCTCGGGGCAAGCCCTTCTTGAAGAACAGCAGGAAGATTTCCTAAAGCTTGTCTGTCAGGGCTGTCTGGGTTTTACATGCATACACATCTCCATACACATACCACTGTACTCAGAAATGCCCTGATCAAGGACAAATGTTGCTTTGCTGAAAATCTTGAGTCAAAACTTGAAATGGAGGCAGCTTGCTATGTACTAAGAATGAATGACCCTCCTACTTACACATTTTTGTCATATTTATCTGAGTAGCTTTAACTTCCAAGTGTATGGAAGGCTTTGTTGTCAGATTAAAACTCTCTCTAGTTTCTCTTCCCTGTCTTGGGTAGCATTTACAGCTGACTATATGTCTGACTCACCTGATACCACAGTCCATTGCTTTCAGGACAGTCCTGAGAATAGACAGTGTGTTTTGGACCTCCCATGCAGGTGCTGGGTGAGTTGTTCAGACTGTGCACAGTAACTAAGTGTCATCATGGGATCATGGGATCATGGGATCCGGATGCACCAGACTTACTCTTCAATATGTCATTCCTTTCAGTCCCCATGCTGGTGCTCCTCAATGGATTTTGGCACTGATTATCATGTGGCCACAGAGTGGGTTGAACCTGTGGTACAGCTGAGTGTGCAGATAGACAAGCACCAGTACTGACACCTGGAGACGTGATGGGAGCAGGCAGGGGAGGGTAGCCCTGCTTCTCTTGACAAGATCTCATGCTTAGATTGACATAAGCCAGCCACGACACCGCATTCTCAGTGATTCATCTGGGATTTTGGCATGTTGGACAGCCCAGGCAAAAATATGGCTGGGGCTCATGCTTTGATGAAGCTGATGAAGACCTGAGATGGGGAGAAAAATTTCTCTGCTTCTGTCTGGTAAAGAGAACCCCAAAATCTTTACAAAACTGCAGCATATCAGTGTCTTTGACTGGGCCTTCACTTGACATTGATGGGATTTGGGAGGTATCACTGGTCTTCTCATCTAGCTAACACAATCTGCAAAATATTAATCTTGGTCTGGGCTGTACAGGGGCTCTGCATCTTCATAAATACTTCTCCTCCCTTGACCTTTTGGAAAGTCATTTCTCTTCACTTCCTGTTGTATTCAATAAATCCCTTTGCTTAAAAAGGTCTCTTGTTGATCCTAACCATCTGGCATCTGGGCGAGAGGAGAACACAAAGGAAAGACAACAGGTTGAGTGCTGGACTGTGGGTCAAAAGCCTATCTGTAAAATCCTAATGTAGAAACATGCTGCGAAAAGGAGGGAACAGAAGTGAGAACTGGGAAAACTTCTGCTTCAGGCTGTTGTTTTCTGGCACAGTGCCCGGCAGGCACTGCACCAGGCAGCTCAGACCCAGAGCCTGTTTTCCCTGCTGTGTGCTGCTTCATTTTCTGGCCTGGGACGACCTCTGTCTGGCATGTTCTTTTCCACACCCTGGATGAGTGCTCTTTTTAGCTAGTTACTGCAGTACTTGGCATTAAATATAGTGAATCAGACTACAAAGTAGCATGATACAGGCTTAAAAATAATGAGGTTTAAGTGCAGTTGAGCTTTGAGTACTTTTTGTTTGCCTTCTGGCTTAGAAAACTTTAGAATATGTGATGTCCATATTTTTCTGCATTTCATCATGACTGTGAGTGCTCAGAAGTCAATTCAAGAATTGAAAAAAAGTCCCACCCCAACATTACCAAGAAAATGCAACAAACCAAACATAATACATCCATATCTTTTTATTGAGAAGTCCAGAATAAATTACTTGGGCTTTCAGAATAGCACTAGTTATTAGAAACTCTCAATTAAAAAAATAGGATAATTGGCAATATTCTCACTTACGAAGTAGAAAGGAGATAATGGAAAGAGAAAATCAGAGAAATGGGAAAGTAAACTGATTACCTTCAAGAGGCTTGCTTAAGTCCTGGAAGAAACAGAGGCTGTGATGATGTAACACCCACACAATTCTCTCCAGGTTTTGAGTATTTTCCCAGTGTCTGGAAAGACTTTCCCCAGTAGCAGAGAAGGGTCCTAGATGAAAAGAATTCACGGTCTGGAAACAGACACTGAGTATAACACTGATTTCTACATCACCAAACCAGCATGTGTGCTCTTATATCCACCAAATTACATAAGCATAAGGAATTTGTGCTTGGCTTCTTTCACTTCATTCTGGGTTTCAACAGCAGCTTTGCATAACAATGTGTTTCAGTTTTCACTGATAACTTGTTGAAAATCTTCCAATCTACCCCTCAAAGCAGAACAGGTTTCACAAAATCTGGTGTTTCTTCACAACATGAAATAGAGGTACTGCTTACTGGCAGAGTTGTTTAATTTACTGCTGCAGGCACAGGTCTGATAGCCACATGTTAGCTCAACCTGACTTTTCCTGGCTGGGGAACTCTGCACAAAGCACAGGTACAAATGTGAGGGCTACAGACCAATAATTTCTCTGTTGGTCTGTTACTCTATTACTCTATTACTTCCCAACACAGTAATAAAGCTTTCTGTCTTTAGTTCTTACAGGTAGGATGGACAAGCTTAGGTGAAATACATGCCTTCCAACCACAGCAAGAATACAATTCAGTACCAATGACAAGTTAGCAATATAAATACATTAAAATTTGATCTCTGTGCACATGCATAAGAGTTAAAAACATTCTGTAAGAAGATTGGAATTGTTTCCCTTCTGACTATAGCCACACACACAGCAGCTGCTGTGATATCATGTGTCAGCATCTCCTGATTGATATTTACTTAATTATTGACTTATTTGTGACATTAATTAAGCATTGGAGCAGTCTGCCCAGAAACACTGTGTACCCTTCACCACTGATGTCTATAAGACCAGAATGGATAGTGCCCTGACCCCATGGAGCAGGCATTAAAGGCCTCCCAAAGCCCCTCCAACAGTAATGTTCCTGCAATGCTGTGACCAGGCCTCTCAGGCATGGATTTCAGGTTCTGAGATTCTTCCCTGCATTTTCCAGTCTGTAAAAGTTTACCCCAGCCTCTTCATCCTCCACAATTCTTGTAAAAAGGAAAAAACCCCACCCTGCTACTGAAAAACAGTAAATTGTACTGTGTTTGTGAGTTTTTTATGGGTTCTGAATACAGATATTATTAATATTTTGCTTTTATACCTTGAAGGAGCCTGAAAGGGTAGAGAAGCAGCAAAAAGGGGAAGGAATATATAAGTGCAAATTTTATTTGGTGACACCTTGAGGTGTGGTCTCCCTGTGAGAACAGAAGCACAGTCCAAGAACAATTGACTGGCAAACTGAAATATCACTTGGCATGGCAGTTCCTCAGAGCTCAACACCAAACAGTGACTCCTGTCCTGCAAAAGCAGCAGGCAGAGTCATAATTTAGGTTGGCTCACATACATGCAATGTCATGTTATTTTACAAATTCATTCTGGGGGCGCATTGTCTAAAGCCTCTGAGAAGACTATCAGATGCCTTGGTATGAAATGCATGGGACATACGTGTGTGCTGATAAATCTTCTTATTGTTTTGGGAGATTCTCTGCTAGAAATCCTGTCCAAACCTCAGTGTTGGCTTTGGACTTTTTCCAGTTTACTTCTCCGGGCTTTGCCATATCCTCAGCCTTTTCCTTCCTCAGGCAGTGCCTGAGCAGGATGGCTCTGCTGCTGGTTCCTGTTCTCCAGACTCCCTTGGGGTCACCAGGGAGTGGTAGGGGCCTGGGGACATCACTTCGGAACAGTGAGAGGCTGCACAGCCTCACCAGGGAGGAAGGGCTCATTGTTCCTGGTGTGCTTACCACAGCCTGGTCTCACTGCACCCTCACAGCACACTTTTTCTCATGGTCAATGTATTAATGGCTTCTAAAGTCCCTGCATTCTTACTCTGGGATTAGGGCTTTTAGTCACTCCCAGCCTTCAGCCTGGTAATCCATAATCAGATTTTAGCATTTTAGCATTTCTCAGAGCAAAAGCTATCTAGGATGGCCTAAATCTGATGTCCTGTTCCTAAAGGGACCATCAATTTTCTGTGTTCTGTCACCTTTTAAGATGCCCGTGAGTCTACTATTGCTTGACCATAGCTCATCAATCTGATATTTAATATCTCTCAGAGTCATTATTTCAGTAACCTCATTAACCTCTGCTTTTTAACAAGAGCAATTTGGAGGGATGCTGACCAGTTATGGTTGTCTTCTGGTGTACGGCTTTGATTTAAGCTGCCTAACTTTTCCATTTTTTCTGATGCCTCCTACTTCTGCTGTTCTATCCCTCTATTTCATGTACTCAAGCACCACTAAGAGCTTTGGTAACAGTTGGCCTGCCCAGCTTATGTTGGAGCTGAGAGTGGGTCTGCAGATGACCTCAAGCTGAGTGGTGCAGTTGACACATCTGAGGGATGCGATGTCACTGGGAGGGATAAGGACAAGCTCAAGAAATGGGCCCATGAATTTCAATAAGGACAACTGTAGGGTCCTGCACTTGGGCCAGGGCAACCCCCCATATCAATACAGGCTGAGGGATTGAGAGCAGTCCTGTGCAGAAGGACTTGGGGGGACTGGTGGGAGAAGAGCTGGACATGAGCTGGCAATGTGCACTTGTAGCCCAGAAAGCCAAATATACCCTGGGCTGCATCAAAAGCAGAGTGGCCAGCAGGTCAAGGGAGGTGATTCTGCCCCTCTGCTCCACGCTGGTGATACCCAGCCTGGAGTGCTGCATCCAGCTTTGCGGTCTTCAGCACTGAAAAGACATGGACCTGTTGGAATGAGTCCAGAGGAGGGCCATAAAGATGATCAGAGATGGATGGAACACCTCCCCTATGAAAACAGACTGAGGGGGTTGGAGGTGTTCAGCCTGGAGAGGCCTTTGAGCATTTTCCAGTACCTAAAGGAGATGGACAAGAGAGGTGGAGAGGGACATTGTACAAGGGCATGTAGTGACAGGACAAGGGGGAATGGTTTCAAACGGAAAGAGAGTAGGTTTAGATTAGATATTAGGAAGAAATTCTTTACTTTGAGGGTCGTGAAACACTGGAACAGGTTGTTCAAAGAAGCTGTGGATGTCCCATCCCTGAAAGTGTTCAGTGCCAGATTGGATGGAGCTTTGGGCAGCCTGACCTAATGGAAGGTGTCCCTGCCCTTGGCAGGGGGGTTGAAACTAGATGATATTTAAGGTCACTTTGAACTTAAACCATTCTGTGATTCTATGATTCCTTGAGAGGGTAAATAGAGATTAGTGTCTGTCCTATCTGGGAAATGCAGCAGCCTGCCCCTAGGAAGCATTGGGCTCCATAGCTCTAAAAAATGCTTTTAAAATGTTAAAGTTCTTATCCACACCTACAGAGATGAAGCTTATTCTCTTCAGTCTTCAGAAATTCAAATAAAAATGTAGAAGTTCTCAAACTTTGTCCAGTGTGGGTTAATATGCTGATGGTTTCTCCTCTTGGGTTTTACCCTGTTTCTGGGAGGCACAGGAGGTTATGCGTGCACTGGTTTTCTTACCTTGATCTGTATGAATGCAAATGCAAAGCTGCCTGTAAGTAACTCCCGAGTATCGACTCCCGAACAGGCTGTCTAGCCATTAGATGGCAGCACAGATATGTGCAATATCCGTCGTGCCTGGTGATGCTCTAGGAAAGCCCCTCCGTTTCTTTCAGCATCCTCAAGGTATCTTGTGGCTGAAAGAATGTTCACATTAGTTAAAGCAAAGTTAATTAAAACTGTAAATTATGAATTTCATATATAATTGAAGCAGATAAAATAAAAATTAAAAAAAAAAAACCTCAAACCACCCTCAAACAGTATTAAGCAGGAAGTTCTTTCAGAATTCCTGAATTATTTTATTCCTTATCCTTCTCAAGCATACATAAAATTCAGCTAGACTGACTAAACCAGCTCCTTTCTTGATGACACATATAGCAGCTTATAGCCTAAAAGCTCTTCTAGAAAACTCCCTCACTTTGTTGCCACCAACAATCTTAGGTCATTGCCTGAGGAACATAATATCTTACATTACCTTCAACCGCCATTTGAGAAACTCAAAAAATACATCAGGCACTTAATTGAGCCTCAGAATATTCCAGTGACACTTTAACTAATTTCATTTTACTAATGGAAAAAAAAAATTGAAGCAAATAGAGAGGAAACCTAATTTTCTTTTTCAGACTTAAATATTTCCCACCTAGCTCATTACTAATTTTGTATTGTGTTGACATAAAGTCAGATAAAGGAGAATCAAAGTGCTAATTGCATAGTTATAAGCCTGACGCTTGTGCTGACATCCCAGAATTTTGCCTGGTGTCCTGTGAGAAGGCCATGTTTGAGAGTTGTCAAAGTGATGCAATGCAAAGTCTTTGCTATGGCAGAGCAAAATTCCTACCTTTTTGTGCTAAGACCCAACAAGGAAATCCTGAGTCTGTGCAACTGGTGATGTAACTGATAATCTAGAGCATATACTGTTGTTAAAATGTGGAAGTATTTTTTAAAATATGGGTGATCATATCAAAGAGACTTCAGTCTAGCATGAAGGATTTTGAAAATCTTTATTTCATTTTTTCCCTGAAGAAATTCTTAACAAAATATTAACATAAATAGTTTTCCTTATTCCTTACAGCTATGTTAGGCTGATATAAAGCTAACTTGCACTTGATAAAATCAGGAGTAATAATCCACACTATTATACTTATTTAAAGCCAGTTTGTGGAGGTAAATTCAGCCCCAACTCCTAGCTTTTTGGACCATCTTCACTCCCAGGCTCTTTTCCCAGGTAACTGAGCCGATTTTCAAACTTTGAGGCTGCTCTCACACTGGTGATCTCAGGAATTGCTTTGCAGCAACTTTTAGAACAGTTTCAAAAGGAGAGGAGTTTTGTAGTGTCTTGTAGGCAATTAGGGGCCACAATTCCTCTTGGGTGTTGATGAGCACAATGTGTCTGCTTATACTTCTCCCCCAGAAATGTGTCTCTTGCACAGGCACTACCTCCCTCCTCACTTTGTGAAGTGGAAAGCTGTGTAACTGCCCACCATGGGGCTATGAGACTATCTGGAAGAAAGGAAGGATATATCACTTTACTTTTTAAAATGCAAAAGGCATTTCAGAAGGCACTGTAAAGTATCACTAAGCAAAAATTTAAGAGAAAGCATCACGGCAGTATGTGATCCTTGCAAGCCTTGGCTTTGTGTATGCGGCACCACGGCACAAATGTTACTTGGTGTAAGGGGAAGAGCTCAGATTTTTAAACTACACATTATACTTTCTGCAGAATTCGGGGCCTTCTGTGAAAGCCTCTTGTCAAAATATTAATGTAAGCCAGTGAAGATCACATATCAAGGTGGAGTGGCTGCAAGCATCGCTAATGTGTGCAGGTACTGCCAGCTACTCCAACAGCAGGCAAAGCCATTCCCTTCTGCGCTGAGCTCCTTGGAAAGGAGGAATGTGTAAATGTCTAGACTTTAGCACATGGGGAAAAAAAATGTAGCTTTCTGGCACTACCTCAGAACCTATTCAGCATATGGCTGTCTTTTCAATGTGTAAACTAGTCAGGACAAATCTGAGGTGGTCTTTAAAAATTATTTTAAATTTTCTAGATCTTATTCCATTTCAAATCCTCAGAGAATCAGTTGAAACTGCTAAAATTTTTAAATGCTTGAAGGACATTGGACTAGCATAGTGAAAATAGCCAGAAAGCTGCTGGGCCCCAGCATTTTATTTTCCTACCTAGAAGAGGGGAAGATGGATGGTGTGAGGGAAGCTGATCTGTTACTCCGATCGAAATGTGTCAGAGCCTGGGTGTTTGGGCATAATTAGACCCCAGTAACAATAATTTCTAGATCATCTCCAAATGCAGATACTGCTGCATCAGCAGCATGGAGGCAAATCCAGCATCTCTGACAAGAAAGTCCTTACCTTCTCTTGGTGCAAGATGTACATCTGTGATAGCCCCTGATGGCTCCAGTGTACTTTCATGTAGTGAAATTAGGGGGGGACCAATTTCTGAGCTTACTATGTTCCTCCAAATCACTTGTTTGGGATTTCCAATCTATTTAGAAATAAGGGAAATGCATTGCCTATAAAAATGAGCAGGACTTCAGCATCCTACAAACCTGGCATTTCTCTATTTAACCATAATTAACTCATAAATAATTTACACTCTCCTTTCTCTTATTATAAACTAGGTTTTATACCAAACAAAGTAATCAGGAACTTCATATTGTTGCCCTTATATATACGTAGTCAGGTACCAGAGGGTGGAGATGACTTACCAACAAGGTTCTTATACTATGAATTTGACCCATGCATACAGATTCCTGCACTCTCTGAGGGATCTGATTTTGGTTGGACTTTACATACCTGAGGGATCTGTGTAGGTACAGATGTGTAGGAGGTGGCCAGGCTTGTGTTTAGGAGGAGGACAGTAATTTCAACAAGAGCAGCTTTTACCACAGATGAGCTGGAGAAAAGCACTATCACACTTTATTTTAGTATGCTACAAAATTCATTGTTGAACTTTATTAGGTAATTTAATACCAAGCATACTTTAAAGTAACAAAAATTATTGTCATTGTTTTTTACAGAAAATCAGGTATTTCAACAGTTTTCTTTACAGTTTGTTGACTTAAAAAAAAATTACAATTGACAAGTTACAATAGTGGGATGGGAAAGTGGTAACATTTAAAAGGATAAAACATACTATTCTTACTGAATCAACATTTAATGATGTACATCCTGGTATGTCTCTCCTTCTGACTGTGTACAAATGGTACATATTCACTGAGCTGCCCTGACAGGGTTGTGATGTATTGTGATGACACTTTTTTTGAAATGTTTGTGTATATTTAGAAAGGTTTTTACATTACACCGTCACCATGATGCAAAACAAAATAATTTAATACAGAGAAACCCTGTTTCAGTGATTTCTGTCACAGCAAAAGTGCTGTGACTGCAGTAATGTGGGGTAGAGGTAAACTCAAGGAGCAAATGAAGATAGTGACACAATAGCACATCCAGATAGCAAACCCTTTCACAGGCTTTGAGGTGTGAGTGTGATTGTGAGCCAGAAAGAGCAGAGAATGAGGATGGGCTTCACTGAGACACCATTTAACAGGGACTCCTGAATGCACCTGGCTCTTAAGGATGTGCGTTTTCCAGCTGACAGTGGTTGGACTAATCACAGATTTAAAAACCTGTCTGAAGTGGGCCCTTAATGCATTTATGCAGCCTCATGTGTAAACTACTTGATTTTTACCTTCCATTCCCTTTGGGTCAGTAGCAGGTACTGAGAATATGTTTATGGTGGTTGACTGATTTGGGTGGGTTTTTTGACCAGCTCAAATGCCAGTCCTATAGAATTCAGGAGAGTTTTCTACCCACAGTTACAAGAGCAGTTTTGGATTAAAAAAAGTGGTGGGGTTTTTGTTTGTTTGTTTGTTTGTTTTTTTAATGCTGCCTAGATTCACACAAATTTACTTGGCTGACATCCACATCAGCATTCAGTTTGTAAGACAAGCAGCACCACATTGGTACCTTGGTAGTTAGACAGAAGAGTTATCTAATTCCCTGTATTTGTTTATTGGCAGTTTGCTTAAAGATAAATTTTCATTCAAAAATAAAATAAATTTTCTGAGATTCATGCACTAAATTCCAGAAAAATTTGTGTTATGCAGCCAATAGTTAAAAAGCAGTTTTAACTCATGTTTACCTCATGTCTTCAGCATGTTGCATTACTGGGGATCAACATTAGCAATTAATTATTATTTTAACCATTTCCCCTGAAAGCCAAAGAATGAAGAAACAGGCTTAAAAAAACCTGAAGAAACTAGCATTGCAGTGTTCATTTTGGGCTGGATTCATATGTGATACACAGGGGAGGGCAGAAGACATGCCCAGTCCTGAGCAAGGATAGATGTGTGCCTTGCTGGGAGGTGCTGGAGAGGAGCAGAGGAGAGGGGCTCTCTGCTTCCCTCTGTTGCTCTGTGCCTGGCGCTTGGCATTTTGCTATAAGGTCTTTCCTCATACTCTGTGCCTACTCCTGTTTTACTTCTCAGTGGCTTCTAGAAGTGAGAGTGTCCTTTGGGACCTGCTGAGCCCCTGTGGAGGGAATCATTAGATCATCTCATCCGACTGGTGTTAGCACAGGCCAGAGAGCATCACTCAGCAGCTACATGGCAGAACAAAGAGAACAGCAGAAATGCCCCTGGAATGAACAGCTGTTTGCTACATTTAAGGGGTAAATTATTTTTTTCCTACTAAAAAGGAAATCAAGGGCCTTTATTTTGTCACTTCAAATACAAACAATTCTATGCATCTTGGGAAATTATAGTATTATGATATTCAGTCAGACATACCTTATAGTATATATGCTTCATAGAACTAGAATATAGGTCAGAAATAATTTTTGAGTCTTAAGTTTGTTACAGACAGATTAATTGGAACACATATGCAGTAAAAATTGAGAAGCTTTACAGTTTTAGTCAACTTATTATACAGTGAAGTAAATGAAGTGCAGCAATGTAGCAGTAAAAGTTATGCTTTTTTCCACTAGGTGATGGAAACATTCAGAGTCTATAAATGCTAATTAAAGAGAGATGTCTTATCAGCTTCTTGGCTACTGGGATAGGAGTTAACTGCCTCTCTACTGTGAAAGGTTTTAAAGCTTTTTGCTTTCTGTCCGAATAAAAAAAATGACATTTACAAATCTCTTCAATGCATATATATTACATATGTTTATCTAGCAACAACTACACCCCTTTTAATTTATTCCCCAAATGTGACTTTTCATGCATGTCTTCTGGATGCTGTATTCAGCAACAGTTTCTAATGAGCTGGTGTGTAATCCATGATTGCATTTCTCTTCTGAAAATCACTTCCACGTCTGGCTGATCTATGTTTAGAAGGTGGTGCTTATCCATCAAGCATTTTTGCACTCGTCAGCATTCTTCTCTGTCAGAGGCTTTCCCAAGCTTCTTCCCATTTTAATGTTGATGTACAAAAGCTGTTATTCGTTTTGTTTTGTGCTCATTCTAGTGAGGATTGGCTTAGTAGGACTGTGCAAAACAGAGAGAAGAGAGAAGAGAGAAGCTGGTTTACTGCCAGCAAACATAAAGATGTTCACACTGTGCTTAGCTCAGAGCAAGCCTCTGACCAATATTCTAATGCACTTCATTATATGCATTTCCATTTATCATGAAAAGTGAAAAAATTAACCTACACATAGGATTTGTAATCTGAAATTCTTAAAAATCATTTTTCACCAGCTAATCAACACAGATTATGAGATTGTTTCATCTAAAGTTCGAGCAATATGAAAACAAAGATACAACACATATGGGACAAGAATGACATTTACTAGATGAATATTATGAATTGAGTTAAAATCCTGACATTTCTGCTCGGTATCAATAACTTCTTTCACTCCCCTGAGGACACAATCCACATTTGCAAACATGATAAAATAATACCTTGTGTTAAATTTCAAATGAGGACAGAGGTGCAGAGGTGTTTTCAACCCAAACTCTCCCTTAAAAATTAATTCCACCCATCCATTTTCCATGTGTTGCAAACAGAGCTGCAGACAGGGAGAGCGGACACGAGCTGCGGTGGCACCGGGAGCGGGGGGAGGAAGGCTCCCCCTCCTCACTGGAAGTGGCTGCGCCAGAGGGGGCAGTGCGGGGGAACAGGGCCTTATTGAGAAAGTCTATTTGCAAGTACTCAGGGACAAGCAAATGCCCGGCTACTCCAGCACCTGGCATTGAACAGAAGGTTCTTGCACCAAATGAGCACTGCAAATTCACCATTGGCTAAACTGTCCTGGATCACCGAGACCAAACCATGAAGTCATTTGGCAGGCACCCCCCAGACTGCCTCCTGGGAAAGGGTCACTGGTCAGGGGTGCTACAAGGCCACAGGTCATCGCAGTCCCATTCCCCTCGTTGTAACACAGGGGCCTCTGCAGGAGGCTCTTTGAGTGCAGAACTAGGGGAAAATCACTCTTTTTGTGAAAACAAAAGAAAAAGAATGAATTTCATTGTGAAATGACAGTGAACAGAGAATTTCAGAACTAGAAACTCTTAAAAATGTTACTGTAAAGGGACTGAAATATTTAATTTCCCCCCCTGTGTTACATGGAGCAGCCACCTTCTCCCATTCCCACAAATTCCCCACACCCCTTGACTCTCATGATCACCTTGACCTTCAGCTAATTCACCCACAGACCCAAGGAGTGTGATCCCCCGGAGCAGGATGCCCAGACCTGAGAGCTTGTGATGGTAGAACCACAAACTAGTGAGCGTAGTGGTGGCAAACCCTTTTGCTATGGACTCTGGATGCTTTCTTCCCCATCAGCTTCCAAACAATTGACATTTTTCAAGTAAAGTTTGTTTCGGAGGAAAATTTCTGACTTGTTACAGCCCCCATGTGTTCAGAATGTATCTATAGTCCAGATTTATTTTACGAGACACTTTTAATTGATGTTGCTGAGACTAGAAAGTAGCAAATAAATACGACAGAAGCATAAGGTAAATTAAGGAGGGCCCTGAAAAAGAAAAACGGAACAGTTTTACTTGTGTCAAAAAATGAATAAGAAATATAATATGGTAAGAACATTTTTATGATACAAGTATGTAATGGGGATTGTAGTTTCCAATTGTAAAAGAAGACTTGCTATTGATAGCTCCATGAGCTTCCCTTCACCCTTTAAAACATGCAGCAAAAATGAAGGATAAAGAATTGATGAGAAATGGACATACTTGTTATAAATGAAAATTATTAAAAAATGGTCTGAGTCCAGAATTTTGGTGTATTTTATTAACATGGTTACTAATGTAATTAATATGGTTATATAAGTAAGCAGCACTACTTAATAAAATAAAAGAATGAAAAATTGCCTGAGCCTCTAATCTGTTTATTTGCTAAGTGAGATATGGGGGTTTGTGAGCCTCTTAAACAATCCATAGTTGGGTGAGGAGCATATGCCCTGACACTCCTAGGAACAATCTAAACTTAATAGAACTGAATGAGCCATTTCTTTCAATTATTTTTAATCAGAATTTAGTGTAGCTGTGTTATTTGAACCCCTAACACTGTTTACTGGATTTCCAGCAACAGTCAGTGTTTCAGCTGTAACATACTAAGACCTTTATTAGTTCTTTTGACAAATATTGCACACAGGTGTTATACACATGGAAATGAAATTTAATAAATACCAGAAGTGCCTAGTTGACAAGGCAGAAATAAGTCATTCACATCCAACATCTCTCAGTCTGTTTTGTATCACATTATAGGCATTTGACTCCTTGAAGTTTCTTAGAGATACTTACAAACTGTTTCTAGTACTGTTGCTTAGAAATCATTTAATGAAAGCAGTCTTCATGAAAGCTGTATTACCCAAGAATCCAGGTGCTCTGCTGTTAAATTCCCTTTGTAAAGTCTTTAAAGGCTGCCTGTTAGGCTGACATCCCCACAACACAGTTACTATTCATATTTGACCAATTCAATTAGGGCAGTCACTTCTGTTGACTGCAGAGCTGGGGTACAGTCAGCCTGGAGCATTTTAGTGTTTATGTACATTTTCAGAGAGAGAGGCCGCTGATATTCCTTTGTGGTAAAGATGAATCATGGGGAAATTTCCAGGTTGCTCCCTGACAAGGTACAAAAGATGTACTGAATTTCAGATAGTCTCTTACATGCTGTTACTGTAAAGTCAGTCAAATGAATAGTAATTATAGAGAGAAAGGCAGACCTTCTAAGTCTGACTATATATTATCTCAGACAATCTTACTACTTTATAGCATTAATTGTCACCAGCCATATTTATATGATCTTTTTTGCCATGTATTTGACTGGCATCTAGAAAACAACACCTTTCCAAGTCTTAATCATTTTTGCTGACTCCAAACACACACAATTACTGTGCTAAAGACCAACCGGCTTTCGTGGTCACACCAAAATTGGTACTGTTACAAAACCACATCAGCTGGCAGAAACCCATGAGTTAATGAAGCACCAGAGATTTTTTCCAAGCACCTCCACAGTGTTCCTCCAGCCTAAGGAGCAACATCATCTCTGTTGAATGCTGGCACTGTGTTTAGTGTATGGAAGGAGATGAACGATGAAACACCGATACTGAAGGTCTGCAATTGAAAATAGACATGATAAGGCACCTTGGATAAACACTTCTGCCTGGGCTGTACGCCAAAAAAAATTGGACAAGTTCAGTCTTAATGAGGTGCTTGGAGTTCTCACTTTTCTGCTTATAGAATAACAGAATCATTAAGGTTGGAAAAGACTTCTAAGATCATCGATTCCAACCCTTAACATTGTACTGCCATGTTCACTGCTAAACCATAACCCCAAGCACCACATTCCTTTTGAACACTTCCGGGGTGGTGAATCCGGGACTTCCCTGGGCAGCATGTTCCAACCCTTCTGGTGAAGAAATTTTTCCCAATATCCAATCTAAACCTCCCCTGATGCAACTTGAGGCCATTTCCTCTCATCCTCTCACTTGTTATTTGGGAGGAGAGACCAACCCTCACCTGGCTACAACCTCCTTTCAGGTAGTTGCAGAGAGCAATAAGGTCACCCCTGACCCCCCTTTTCTCCAGCCTAAACAACCTCAGCTACTTCAGCTGCTCCTCACTGATCTGACTCAGCTCCTCACAGTCACAGGTAGATGGTTTTGTTGGGGTTTCTTTTTTTTTTTTTTTGGTTGATATTTTTGTTTGATGCAATGCTAAGTGTGTTAAAATTCCACTTGTATCCACTGCACCCCAAAATTCAAAGAGCTACATGCATTCAGGGCCTGGACAATATCCAGATGTGTCATTAAAAGGCGTGAAAGGCAGATAGATGCCTGCACAGGGCAGCCAATGTCCCACCATCTCTTGTTTCCTTGTAGATATTCTCTTTAAAACACATAAAAAATCCTATTTGAGTGGCCTGAGAGAATGATTTTGTTTTCTCTGTGATGAGAGAGGAATAATGTGTATTTCCATTTGCCTACCTGCTGTGGGTGCCTTTCCCCCAAAAAACTGAGCATCCTTTGCCCTGGCCTCATGGGGAGTTCCTCATGCATCACCCAGAGAGTGACCCTGGGGCAAATCTGTCCCTCAAGAAACATCCAGGCACCAACTCAGGCCCTCTCCAGACTCGTAAGAGTCCTGGTGATCCAAGCTGGAACTCAAACGTGTTTTGGAGAAGCTGTCCACAGATCATCCTGGAAATAGCTGTGTGGCCAGGAGGTGACTGAGTTGTGCTCTCTGCTGCCTCCCCTGCATTGCAGTTAAGCCACAGTAAAGAGGGTACAAGGCTACCCTATGGAAATGGAAAGAAGGATGGACAGAAATTCCCCAACTGTTTTGCTAGCAGCGCTCTTTCAGTGTTTCACTGTTCAGCATCTTCTCAACAAAATGTGATAGATGACCTGTCCACACCAGAGCTGCCCAAGCGTGTTTCCTCCTTCTCCTGGCAAACTGGATCTGGCAACTGCCTGCTCTGCTGTCACTCACAGCTACAGAAGACTACCTGAGAGGGCAGGGGTTAAAGAGAATACACAGTAAACCTTGAGGAGTTACTAAAACTTTCACAAAATTTTGGGATTGAAATTGCATGATGTCTTTGTCCATATGGCATTAGAGGAGAAGCTCATCTGAGCAGAAGGGTGTCTGAGCTCACTCTTCTACTGCAGCACTTCCTTGCAATAAAATAGAATTGAACCACATAAAAAATGACAAGGTTTTTACCAATTCGGTTTGTGAACCCTGTGAAACCAGAGCTGGGGGGAACAGTGGGACTTATTCAATCTGCTGGGTGGTATTTTGTGCACCCTGTTAACGGCAGCAGCTGAACTCCTGGGCATGGGCTGTCGGAAGTGTTTCTAGGACTGTAGGAAATCGTTTCAGGAGCATTCAAGAATTTTCAAAATGTCTGGCTCAGACAGGCATCATCAATTAAAGTTTTGCCATCAGAAGGCTCAGATCATGGCTGCACAAGGACATTTCTAGCATCTGAGAGGATGATGTGGCAGCGTTCTCCCCTTCTCCGCTTG